GTGGTATTGAGTGAGTTCATGGCTGTCACTCACTCGAATCACCAAGTACTTGGGATACACAACAGAACAATCAGTGGCTTAAGGCTATTAAAGACGCGCCATGTGCCGTGGCATGGAAGAGTTCAGTTCAATTCAGCTGCGAGACAGGCACAGCTGAACCCAAAACCTAGTAGGGGTCTCATGATGTCATTCTTTGATGAGACGCAACCAATTCCTACTGTACCCCTGACTCCACGGAACCGGGGATGGCTGATGGCTCGGCGGGCATAACGATTTTGAACCTTTATCCTGAAGGGGTGGATATACTTGGACCAACTTGGGATAGCTTGTGATACTCAGGAATGACCTCAAGAAGCTTTTGGTCAGTTTATTTAGTACATCAATCAAGTATCCTAAGTCCTGTTGCTTCCAAACCATAGACACGGGACGTTCTGCATGCAGCAGGTGAGTCTGACTTTGATTTAAAGATGGCCTGTGCTTTTGGTTTGTGGGGAGATTTGCAGCCAAGAATCAAGGTCGACAGACAAGGAGCTATACGAACCAGAATATAGAGTTGGAAACTTGGTCGAACCAGAGAATATCGGTAATACTGAGATCCTGCCAGTTCGTGTATTGTATTTATTAAATTTCTTGTTAGATAATGCAATCGATGTTATTACCAGGCACAAGACAAAATCAGTTCACTCTCTGATGATCAAGGGACACGTGGGTTGGAATATGTGGGCCGCTTCTCTGGGCCGGCAGCGGGTCTAATCGATAAAACACCAAATTTTTTATGCAGAGCCATCTTCTTCAAATTGCCCCTCCAAACCCCGCCAAACCCATCACCACAATCATGGCCTCTACAGAACCCGCACAGCTGCCTCCGGCGGGTGAGTCTAAGCCCTGACTTCAAGCATTCGACAGAAACTGATCCAATTCCTCTAGCTGAACGCCAATCCGAGTTCGAGCAAGCCGTCGCATACGCCCTTCACCTATGGCCTGCCCTTACACTCTCAGTCCAGAACGGCTGGGGTGGCCCCGACTCTGCCGACAAGCGCGATTGGTTTGCCGGTGCCGTTGCCGACCTCTTCCCAGAATACACTGATACACCTCCCAAGAATGGAAAGGTTCCCGAGGATCCTGATCTGGAAGAGGTCGAGACTGTCCTTCTCCAGATCATGGTTGACGAGTTCGAGGTCAACGTCGACGACGACTCCGGCACAGAAGTTGCTGGAAACATTCTCCGTGCTCGCGCGAGCTGCACTCTCGGAACCTTTGACGAGGTCAAGGCTCTGCGCACACGCTGGTTGAACCGCAAGGGGACAAAGGTTGAGGGCCTCTTCAAGAAGGCTGAGGATGCCGATCAGGACACAGACTGGGAGAGCGATGAAGACGATTCAGAGGATGACGAGGGAGGCGCTGATGTCGAGATGGACGAGGCCCCCCCTCTGGTTGCAGTTCCAAAGGAGAAGCCCCAACCTCAGGTTGACGAGGATGGCTTCACGATGGTCACCAAGAAGAAGAAATAAACGCAACAGAGACATAAAACAAAATGGGGGAGCAATGGGATATCAAGAAAGAGTTTCTGGCATTGATACCCACGAGTTACAGGCTCTGGTTCTTTCAACATGCCACAATGGCTTCACTAATTCCGAACGCCGAACTGGACAGCGACAATCCTATCCTCTCAAACAGATACTGGAATTTCCAACGTCTATTCCCAGTCCTCATCGCTATCTGAGTCGTCTTCGTCACTATCATCTTCCTCATCACTGCTTTCCTCCTCCTTCTTCTTGGCGTCCTTAGGATCCTTGGGGCTATTGGGAGTCTGTGTTGTCTTGCCAGATGCTGCACCGACAACATCGTAGCTAGCCTCACTATCCGCCTGTGACTTCTCGTCGTTTGACTTGCGGGGCTCAGCTGGCTTCAACGTGGTTTTTGCAGGTTGGGTAGTGGCGGCAGTGGCGGCAGTGGTGGCAGAGGTGGCGGTGGTGGAGGGGGCAGCAGGGGTAGTCTTGGGCTCGTCTTTGGATTCAACCTTGGTCTCTACCTTGGTCTCGACCTTGGACTTGGCCGCGGGTGTACTGGTATCATCGGAGGCCTCAGAGTCATCCTCGTCGGAATCATCATCACTCCAGGCGACATCATCCTCAGCGGAGGCAGCTATTGATTGTTAGCAAGGCACAGTTGAAAAGCTTATTGACTCACCCTTGAGGAGATCTCGTCGTCTAGCATCAGCTGTCTCAATACCGTGGCGAAGGAAATAGTAGCGCTTCCAGAAGTCAACGTAGGGAACCTGGTCAGGAACCAGCCTCTCCATAGTAGCTCGCAAGTCGGGGAATTTCTGTAGATCATCGTTGATTTCGGGTGTTTTCTTATCAGCATCAAAATCCTTTGACCACGCTGCATAATCAGCACTATTGGGATCTTTTGTGAAACTCTCCGTCGATGTGTGAATAACATGTAGTTGAGCATCAAATCTTGATGTATGAATCACACGCTTGCCTTGAGCATCCTTACTCTCGAAGAGAACAGTGCCGCTCTGGTCGGACTCCTGTGGAGGTGCAATACTGACGGCATCACGAAGGAAGTTCCGGATATTGCCGCCAAACTTGATAAGGGCCTCATCGGCGGCATCCTCGGCTTTCTGGAGGTCCTTTAACCTCTTGGCAGCTTCAGCTCTGAGCCGAGCCAGGGTGTTCTCGGACTGCTTGGCCTCTGATGAACCATCTTGTGATGCCCTAGGTGTGGTGGCCTGATCATTCTCGCCGTCCCTGGAGCTTTCGCCGCCAACCACGGTGTTGAGTGAAAGATTCCTCGTATGGCTTAGAATTGTTGATCGAAGGCCAGTAAGTCCCTTTGATGCATCTTCACCTACTTCCGCCAACTCCTTGGAGGCTTGTGTATATACTGATTCGCCCTAGGCATGTTAGACGGGCAGGGTTCAAGAGCTGAGACCTCATACCTGCTTCACAACGTTTCCAAAGAAGCCACCAATCCTGGCACCCCACGGACTGTTGGAAAAGGCCTTGTATGCGTCTTGGAGGTCCTCGTTCAATGTTGACTGAGGTTGAGGACTCTTTGGCTCCTCCGTCTTCTTAGCGTAGCCATCTTCTGTGATATGATCATAAGCCAGATCCATGGCGGCTTGCTATTGTATCGTTCTTGGGCCGATATGGGTCAAGACTATGATTTAAGGCCCCAGTACAAGGCTCTGTGAGTCTTTTAATCCGTTAATGGTTAATTTATTCGATATCTCCTGTCGTCTTGATATCCCTTGGACTTGAGCCTCCTGACCGCACCTGTGGCGGGGTCCAATGGCTGTTGGGCACGGGCCAATGCTCACGTGAGCGTCCTTTGACCTAGCTCTCGGGCTCTTTGCTACCCTATACATTTGCTATCATTTCCGAAAAGCTTTACGTGTTCTCTCTACTGGTAGTGGCTTATGTTTTGCAGCTTTGATTAATTTGTCTCCCGTTCCTAATATTGCGAATTGTTCCCCCTGAACAAGTTATTATGTTTTATGTAAAGAGTTTGTTTGGGTTCATGTCTTGTCTGAACGTCATCGCCATTCACATACAGCTCCAACGACCTTACATAAGGAACTTATCAATTGCATCAAAACCAAGCTCTGTTGCCAATGACGATATTGAAACCTTAAAGCGTAAACTTTTACTTGCCAAGCCTTATGATCATGGAGTTGTCCTTTAAGGCCTTGGTCAAGAACGAGAGCAGCTGAATCAGAATGTTAGGTATTTTAAATTGACCTTGATGAGTGGTACCCCGCAAGCAGGATGGTCTGTTTGCATTCAATTACTTGGCGAATGCTTTTTAGTTGAGCTTAAACTTCCATTTCAGCTCACAACGCACTCGTTTAATCGGTGCCTGTCACCCAAACTGTCACTGACGTATCTATTGCGCAAGACAAGACTGCAGACCTGGGGGAACCCTTGTTTCAGGACCCTCAATCCTCAGAGACAAGATGGTGTTGATACCCTTAGAAAGTCCTCAAGGATGGACCCCTAATCCGTCATATTCCCGAACTTTATCTTATCGAATTTATCATAGCATCCGCGGTTATCGATGATACTGTGGCATGTTTATCCTTAGGCAACCGATGGCAATGCCTTGTTTACTAACATTGACGTCGATGTATCTCGATCGTCGGCTTCACACGGGCAGAATTTCCGTCTAAAAAGATCAGTTGACCTCGATCGCGATCTGAGAAAAAGCCTAGAACGAGCCACAGCAGACGCCAAAATGCAGCTCGACGTGTTTGGATTGGCTCCAGTAAAAGGGGCATTGGATTGGCTTTGATCTTGAATCCTCACAAGACGTGCTTTGGACAAAGTGATGCTGTCATTGTGCATGAAGACATGTGGTTTTCAGCCAATCAAGTAGCCGTCCCTGAGCCAGGGGATCCATACTGGCAATCCTCTAGCTTGGAGCCGCAAGTTGCCTGCAGTGATCATCAAGCTTCCCGTTCCTCGGTCTATTATCATCCAATGATATCGAGGGAATCACAAGTCAGTCAATGCCACTCCCCGGATCGAAACAAGAGTGGGCTTTGCAGCGCTGGGCAACATATCTTGGCTTTTGGCTCCATAATGGACTTTTCCATCCTTGCGATGACGTAGTATGCTATGCAGCTTCGCAATCCAGACTGCTCCAATACTGCAACTGACGTCACACACGATCACGATCTGAGAGGCAGATCCAGTGCCCCTCTATCAGAAGCGTGCATTTTGCTAGAGAAGCCTCAGTGATTCAGCGTGGGGATCTATCATGAGCTACATCCGGACCTCTCTCCGGCCTGCTCCTCCTTGCCCACGCGTGCCTGCATCTTCAACGTGAATCACGGGCAAGCAACCTTCGCTCCAAACATCTCTCCAAGCACTACTTAAACCTAGTCTTCTCCCACCTCAATCTCTTCTTCTTTCATCATCACACACTCTCATCTTCACTCAACACAAACACTCACAAACAACAACCAACCCAAACCACCAACCACTATCACAATGGAGTCCCTCAAGCAAGCCGGCAACTACGTCGCTGAGACCGTTCAACAGGTCACCTCTGGTGCTTCCAAGGAGGCCAACAAGGAGGTTGCCAAGGACAGCAACGTCCCCATCTCCACCCGGTAAGCAACCTGCTCCTCTACTAGACCTCCCACGAGCACCTCACGACCTCGACCCCACGAGTACACCCTGAGCATCACTCCAACACACTCAATAACACTTCACCTCTCTGGTCCAACATCATGCTAACCTCTATATGCAGTGCCACCGCTGCCAAGGACGCCCTTGGTGACAAGATTGACGAGACCACCCACGACAAGAAGGCCGACGTAAGTCTTCGCTGAACTACGATCGATCAGACTCACGATGCTAACCGAATTCCACAGGTCCACAAGGAAGCCATCTAGGCTAATTTTCGGTGGATCGACATGAGAACAACATGAATCGACATGAATCGGAACGGCGTTGAAAGGGAATAGCGTTGGGACTACATAGGCTGTATCTACCTACACCTAATACAAACAGTCAAACATCAGAAATATTTGAAAGGGCAGAGTGAAGTGAACATGTCGTGATTTGAAGCTTGAAAAACATCCATACTTGAAAACGATGGTCTGCAGCCATCAAGCCCCAATGAATTTTGCACAACAGACTGTGAACAGAGATATTATAATGAGCCAAAGCAAATAATAGCTCAATCCTCAACCTTGGAGTCATAACTGATGGTTGGAAAAGAGGGTTATGAAGTTAAGGGCGGGAGATCTAAAACATATCCCTGCATCAAACCTGGCTACCTTACCTTATACTGGCGTAGCGTGCTGGATAATGTCGTGTGTTACGAACTGTGTCATCTCCAGTAAACCCGGCTGTTCAACCACGCACCAAAACGGAATGAGAGAATGAAATAAGTAATGGAGAATATACGACTTTGCTTCGTCTCTTACCAACTTTTACAGCAACAGGTATCAGCGTTCTTTGCCTTGTGTTTGCTCATATCATGCTGCTTGTGAAAGTTTTCTTGAAGCAACATAACGGTTATCATCCTCTCGAGGTGGCTAAGCCTCTTGTACCTCTCACGCACCGAGATCTCTGTCCGATCCATCGCTCTTCCAACTCACACTTTTATACCTAGAATTGTTCAATCTCGTGTGAGGCAAACTACCTGCACACGACCAATCTTCAACATGATAGTTCTGCCACCACTGATATAAGCAGCATAATGTCTGCTGCTAAATATCCACTACGACCTCCCAGCAAGACAAACTCTATCTCAGACGACAGGCCCAAAAGACTACGCAAACCATGCGATACTCGAAACTCTTCATGTGATGAAACTATTCAGTCGCCAATTTATGAAATGATGGTTCTGCCTACTGAGAAGCCGAGTTCCTTAGAGATTGAGGGCATTGAACGATGGAAGCTTGGCTTGTTGCAAAGATGGAATGCCACAGATGTGACCCGACACCATACTTCAGATGCTATTTTCACGCCATTCGATTTATTCAAGGATGTCTCTGAGTTTTTAAACGACACTCGTATTGCTAGTGGAAACTTCCCGGAACATGAAGAAACCACAGCCATCACCATGTAATTTGGAGGGTTGGACATGATTAGGTAAAGGAGTCATGGTGCCCCTCCGAATCCTTCACAAACTGAGCTAACTCTTCTCCTCATTTACGTCGTCCTGACTCGTTTTCCGAATTCGTCAGTCAACAACTTCGGCCTTCTATTGACCAGCATTGCCTCACTTCGCCATAAGGGCACCGTTCGTAAGACTGTCTGCTTGATGCTGGCTGGTCTTACAAGAACCTGGAGTACGAAACTCTGCAACATTAGCTATCAAGTCCATCGCTAATGGCTCGGCATTGCTTCAGTATGATCATTTGGGCCCAGCAAGTCGTCAACCTCTATCTACCCAGAGCTCGAGCGACCTATGCTCTTCGCGGGACAGATGGCTGAGGTGTTTGTTCCTCGTTAAAGGCAAGGACCTAGAATGGCTATTAACTGCCTGGACATATCCGTGATAATCAATGATCGACTAACTACTGCAACCCTCTTAGACCTATTGGAGAATAAATGTCAAGCAAGAGTGTAACGAGAGCAATATTTACCTACGTCCCACCATCAAAATAAATACAGATCTAGTGCCATCTTCCACGGCAAGCCAACAGGCGGAATAAATGGGAGACCTAACCAATGTAAAGACGAAGAATCTGCTACGTGATTGTTTTGGTCGGTCCCCTATTGATCGTTGTATTTTCGCATGGATCTCACTAAGCCTGGATGCGGCCCTCTCTTTAACGAGATGGAGAGAACATGCAAGACTTGGACAAAGCTCAATGTGATGACTTCTGTTCCAACAACAATGATTTGCCACAAGAGACTCCTAAAGGCAACATAATGAGTTGTTCCAACTGTCGTACGAACTTCTGCTTTTTATCAAAATCAATTAACAACCTAGAGCTACCTCGCTATTTTCCACGTAGAGCAAAAATCGCTATAAAAAGAAGCACCCTCGTGTTTCCGTCATTAGCCCAAATGAAAAGTAAAAAAATACCCATCTATCATCTCAACCAACAATTACCATCCAGAAAGCAACATACTCTTCCTCCACTAGCCCACAGACTTCCGAAAAGCACTGTGCGTCCACGAGTCACAGCACCTTAGATGTAGTACATGGAGTTGATCAGTCTGGGGTGGACTGCCTTGTTCCCGGCTGATCCAGCACTGATGACACTTTCACCGTCTGTCTCCTCGAAGAACTCAGGTCGATGAGCTCGAGCGCGAGTGCAAACAATGTCTGCATAGTAAGCGGGAGGGCAAATGCTCACAGCCTTGGTGGCGCGTCCGAACAGATAGCAAAGCTCGTGAGTAAACTTCTCAAGTTCGTTGGCTGCCTCGTTTTTGAACTTGGCTTGGAAGATCTCGTCAAGCAACACTGTGTAGTGCGCAGGACGGGCAGTTCCCTTGATGCTTGCGTGGGCGGTGAGGTAAAAGTCCCAGTAGCGAGCCTCCGTAATACCTCGGTCGACGACAGTGCCATTCTGTATGCTGTGATTTTTTTCCATGGCATTTTCTTCCGAGGTAGGGTAAAAGCGAGTCTGGTGTCGCTTAACGGAAACGATGATGGAGATCTTGGGAGCCTTGTTCTTCGGGTATTTGCCATTGCAGGCAATTCGGATGCGTGGCAATTCAGTCCGAAGAACTTGGGCGAATTGACCAGTCGACACACCGTCGCGGAAGATGACAATGTTCTCTGGCAGCTCCTGTCGGTTGTGCTTTTGCCAGAGCTCAAGGCGCGACTTGAATGCCTCAGTCAAGGTCTCATCAAGCATCTCCTGCTTGGACGACTGCTCCCAGGAATAAGCTGGCCATTGTCCCATGTCCCGGTCAATAGTTGCCACCAAGCCAACCAAACTGGGTGCAGCATCGCTCTTGTCAGCAGACATGTTGGTGGGGTGTGTAACGTCGTAGCCAACCACCATTGTCTTGCCCTCTTTGATCAAGCCGACCTCATTCAGAAGTTTGTGGTTCACACCACCTGTCTTCAAGTTCCACTTGAGAGCAACATTCGCGAAATACTGCGGGTTTTCCTTGCGCAGCTGGAAACCCTGAACACAGATGGTATGAATACCGTAGGTGCAGTCGCCTAAAGTCTTGATCTTGCCATAGAGTTCCGAGCCAGTTGAGTCAAGAATCACAAGCATGATCTCAATCTGATTCTTCTGAGCCCAACCGAGAACCTTTTCAGCATCCTGGCTGTCAGCCGCCAGGAAGGGCGGTGGAATGGGGTCGTTGACAGCGATGTTCATGGTCTTCTTCATGAACTGAGAGAACGCGAGGACCGACTGTGCTGCCACGGGCTCAGATTTACTGTTGGACAGGAGGTTGACGTAACTCCATTTTTTGACAAGTTGGCCGGGCTTGACAACCTTGACATCTCTAAGATTCCAAGACCCATTGCGCGGGTCGATAGCTTTGGTTCTCCTCTGCTGGTCGAGGTATGCAACTCGAGGCACGGTGAGAACACGTCCTTGGACCGTGAGGAGCTGCCGACCGACTTGGATACCGAAATGACCCTATAGGAGTTAGCATTTCCTACATCAGGACTTCACTAAACATACCAGTATGTCGTCATCGAGGCCTAGGGTTTGTCGGGCATCTGTAGTAATAGAGAGGGCGTTGGCATATGGCGTTCGGCAAGCAAAGTTTACCATGTCTGTTGACTCGGCACCATTGAGCTTGGCCTTTACTGACTGTCCAGGCTGGATCTCAAGGAACTCAGCAGGGACAAAGGTAGGCTTTACGGCAGTGCCAACATTGAAAAGAGGGTAGTTTTGCAGGTTAACATTGTACTCTAGATCATACGTTAGGTTGGTACTGAAGGGAGAAAGGGAAACTTACTTTGTTTATAGAAATCCGCGACCGTGATGTACCGGCCTTTACCCTCATCTTCAAGCCAGAAGCTCACGTCTCCCGGTCCAACCGCAAAATCTGTCGTGTGGCGGAACTTGGGGGGATTCTTATCTCGACATTGCTTTTTTATGTCACGGATCGACACTAGGCCATGGATTGCCTTGGACCTTCGAACCTCCTTACTCCCGTATTTGGTCTTTATCCAGACACGGGTCTTGGGAAGAAATCTGCCGAGTAGTTTCAACTTTCTGGCCATTAGAGGCGACTGAGTTGCAGTTACCCCGAACCCCTCAAAGAACTTGGCACAGGGACCGTCAATCTTGAAGACACCATGTGTGACATTGACGTTCAATAGAAGACGGCCAGTTGACAGGCGAACGGATTGGAAGTAACCGCGCGCAGCTTTCAAGGCTCTGTCTCTACCCAGGACAACCTCATTGCGACGGTTATCGCTACCAAATGCAAAAAAGCGCGAGCTTCCCACAGCGCTGATCTCGTCTAGCTTAGATCTGGGGCCAAAGCCGAAAATGACGTTCAGGGCATCAATGACATCAGGGAACTTGGGGTAGGTCATGGCTTGGGAAGGGTCGCTGCCGTCGTCTGAAGCGCCAGTCTTTGAGTAGACGTATTTGAGCATGTCCTCAACACGAGCCTCTACAGGGCCATTGAAAACAACTTCAAAGACATCGGTTTTTTCAGAGCCTTCTGAAGACGGCATGTTGAACCGTATGGTATTGTCTTGCTCAAGGTTGAGCTTGCGTAATGAGATGAGCTGTGACTTGAACTCGGTCGCGACGAGCAAGTTCTTGTCTTTTTTAGAGAGCTCGTTAAGAGCTTCTTTGATGACAAGGTAGAGCTTACGGCCCTTCACCTCGCGAGGGCCAGATTCTCGAGGCTTTCCGGGCTTGCCGCCCTTGCCCTTAGTCTTGGGGGCGCGCTCTTTCGCCTCTTCCTGCCCTTCGGGTACGATCTCTTTGACAGTCATGGTGTATTTGTACAATGCCGGAGCTTGAGTCTTGACTGCATAGTAGTTCGCCCAAAGTGTGACAGGAGTTCCTTTGCTGCCAAAAGCAGGTCGTGGAGGGAACTTTCCGAGGTTCTGCTTGTCCTCCATTGTCAATTTGCCCATATTGGATGTGAGCTGGGCGACAGACGTGACATTATTTCTCACGACTTCATCTTCAAGCTTTGCAATGTCGCCATCTGGTTGGGGAATAGAACCTCCCGTGCTGCATGAATTAGTATTGATCAACGACAACACATCGAGTAATAGATAGAACATACGTGAAGACAGCAGGTCCTTCGGGCTGACTACTGTAGCCGCCTCGGCCGCCACGACCACCTTGTGGTCCTCCTCTTCCACGATCATAGCCTCCGCGACCGCCTCTAGGGCCGCTGAAGCCGCCTCGGAAGTCGCCACGGCCTCCGTCACCACGACCTCTGCCCTGGTAGCCATCACCTCGTCCTCTTCCACCTCTAGAGTCAGAGAAACCAGAAGGGCCGCCGCGGCCTCCACGACCTCGCCCTCCACGACCTCCTCGGTCAGCCATGGGAATTGAGGTTTGGATAGTCAAAGGCTATAGGGCAGCAAGATGTAAAGGGCGGCGAGCGATGTGTAGAGAATGAAAATGTTGATGCTGATAGTTGATGGAAAGAATCAAGCTCCAAAAGACTGTCACTTGATGATGATGATGATGATGATGATGGGAGAAGAATGAAGGGCTTGATGAGCAGGTATGAGAGTGTGTGAGAGTGTAAGTTTAGGAAGAGGAGGAGTTGGGCTGCTTTATGTGAAAGACCCGGGGCAGGGTCGAGAGGCTCTTTGCCAGCGTGATTCAGAGCCAAAGCAGTCACAGCCGTGTTTGCTGTGACTTTGCTGTGACACAGCCTGGTTAAGGTATCTGAGAAGTGACTGATCAACCGAAGGCAAAAGTGGCCTATTCACTGCCTCTATCCAATTGACAAAGAGGCTTCTCGGCAACTGCTGGAGAAGAGGTCAAAGAGGTCGGTTGTTGTCAGGGACTGGCGGGAGAACTATCACGGCAGCTAAGGGAGCTCACCCGTTTCTGGTGGAGCACAGCTGAAGCTAAAACCGGCACTAAGAAGTGCGCGGGGGGAATAATTGAAGTGGTTTAAATTGGATTGATAGAGTGCAAACAAAAGAAAATATGCAATTCGCACAAATGAGAAGAGTGAAGGTAGATTTCGCCCTTTTTCCCTTCATGCAAAAGGCCTTTTTTTCCTTCTTCCGTAGCCTTAGAATGGTCGGCCTCCCAAGGATGCTATGACGTTATTCGTTATGTCTTAGCTCGTTGGGCAAACGAGGCTTTCCAGTTAACCTTCAATCATCATCTTTTATTTACCCTAGAGATACTCAACCACGCCTATCTTTTCACTATTGGAAACACAAATCATTTGCAGGTACCGCATGCTCGGATCTTGTGTTGAATCAGTGCAGAATCCCTCTCAATCAGCTCCATCATGTTACCAAGATACATGACATGTTTGCTTCTTTGAGGTGGCCCACCAAGCCACGATATCAAATTCAGCCCTGACCGCCTGTTCTCAAGAGCAAAGGCCAATAGCACGACAAGCTCTCGCATCCCGCTGTCATATGATAGATTCCTAAAGACAGCCAAGGTAACTTATCTTTGCGTCTACTCTACGGCTGAATGCAGGTCACAATCATAGCAATCCCTGCCTTGCAAGCATATACTCTAATAGTAACCATAGCACAGTCGCTGTTGGACAAGATTTCCGCGAGCCGTCCCATGCTTAGCCATCATCCAGACCTTGCGATCTTAGTACGCCTGAAATCAGCAATTCGTCCACACAATTTGCGATTTGCGAGACCAGCCCTGCGGGTTCGGATAACCAAACATACAACACATGCTAGATGTTTGAGTTTGAGCAATTGCACCCTCATCACATCGCACAAGGAGATTGACCCGCTGAACCTGATGTATTGCTAGGTTGCTTTATGCTGAGCCTCTGCCTACATTGGTCTGCAACGCGTAGATGTGCTGTGTAACTTGAACCATATCTTGAAACTCAGAACCGAAATGACTCTCCATTACTCAGTTGAAGACCTCGGAATCTTAGACTTTGGCAACACTGCCATTCTCCGTAAGAACTTATGTATTGAGCTCCTTATTCTCGGTATCCTACACCGATTACAGCTGGAGCAATGCTCGGCTTCCCGCATAATTCTAAACTCCAAGCAAAACATACTGGAATCTATCGCCATGTTCAACCGCAGTTTGATCAATGTAAATAGTCGCCATGACGTCCATCATGTCAGTGCACCTTTTTTCACATCATAGAACCGACAGTCGGATAGACACAGACAAACCTCAACAAATGGGCAGCCTTGGAAACGGCCCCATTAACCACCTCAAGACTCTTCTTATGATCCTAGTACATATAGAACAAATCAAGGCACCAGCCATCTCATACTCCAAAAGCCCCAGGAGTGGAAATAGCACCCGACAACCTAAGAAATACCATGTGCACTGGTCAACGCGGCTTCTACATCTGCCCCTGCAGACGCACTCACTGCCCCAAGAAAGGGATAGTTCCTCACAGACTTATCACCCAGGGGCATGTGTGTAAGATCGAAATAGATACAATTGCGTGGGACATATGCGAATGGTGGATTGCGAACGGACCCCCAGAGCAAGTTCTCAACCGATACCTCAAGCCCAGCTGCCAATATTTCACATGGCACACCCTGCTGGTTCCCACGGCACTCTGTTCTGAGTGCCAAGTCACATGTGTTGAGGTCAGAGAGGAGCACGGAAGTGGTGAAAAGAGATCACATCGAAGAGGAAGAGACAGGGGTCGGTAGCTGAAGGGTGAAATCTTCGCCTAGGTCATTTCGACGGCCAAGCCGAAGCGTATCTTAGATACGGAGACTCAATAGATGTGTTACTCTCAAGAAAGGACTTGGCATGAAGACCAAATCCTGGTATGGCCGTGATTTCTTTCCATTCTTTCTTTTTTAGCATAGCTCTCTCCCATAAACTCATATGTGAGTGAAATGGTATGCAAACCCATCAGACTTGTGTACAACGCATATCACTCACAACTTCTCACAGACCACCAAAGTGCGTCATGTAAGGATTATTCGTCACATTTGGATTTGTGATATATAAAATGCCTTGGGATGCAGGAGTAAGCAGTGACCAAAAGACCCTGGGAGAAGCTAGATGTTCAACTTCCCAACCTGTAGGAAGTACTCTGAGAAGATTGGAAGGCACGGTTTTACTCTGCGTTTCGCTCCATACTCATCAAGGGATATCGAGAGGCTAGGTTTGAAATATTTGTGCGGAAAGCAGCCGCAACAAATAGCTGTTAACGTTCGATAGATGGTAGTTCGATAGTTCAGTCATGTGAAAGCATCATCTGTGCTTCCTCAGCGGCAATATAGTGAGTCCAGGGATGAAAATGTACACATATGAGGTCGATATCAAAGACAAAAGACGGGAGTATCTTGGTCAACGTTGCACATTGGATCACCGGTTTGCTACGTGGCAACCGCAAGCATAACATGGTACGAGGGGTCTGTTGGCGGAAGTCAACGCGAGCCGGTCAGGACAGGTCGGTAATATCGTGGCTGGCATTGAAATGAATAAATCAACTGATGGTTGGTGACATGTAAATCGGCAAAGTCGACAGCTGACCTTCTGACTTAATGTATCGACTGACATATCGCAAACAGAGCATGCCGGGGAGGACAGCCCTTTGGAGTAGCGTAGCATGTATCAACGCTGAATATTGACGATAGAACTAGACTGTAGTAGATTTCTGAGGGAACACGGCCGATTAGCTTGAGATGCTCTGGTAATATGGGGTGGTACTTGCCATGTCCTTCGCCTCATCTCAGACCCAACTGACAAATTTATCCAATATGCCATAAGACCGTCCATGAATCTTTACTCACGTGGATGAGCAATTTGATCTCACACGAATAACTTGGCTCATGATTTGATATGCCCAGCAGTCGCAACTTTGAGAATCTCATCTTCCAAGCCTGAGACATGGTGGATCTCAATACCAGCATCTTCGAGCGTTTTGCGACCTGTATTCTCCCCAACAAAAGTCTCGGGTTCCTGGACGCCAACATAGACCTGCCTAATCCATGACTTTTGGCGCAGGACTCTTTCGACGCAGGGGAGTTTGCCGCTCAGCCGTTTGAAACAAGGTTCAACAGTGGTGTAGAGAGCATGGGGGGTGTTGAAGACATCTGATAGCTTCTCTTCTGTCGTTCCATGCTGCTCAGCCAGCTTCAATAGACATGTTTCTTCAGCATGGGTGTTCCCGGGAAGCTCAAGAGTGTATCCTTCGGCAATGATGCTGCTGTCGCTTAGCCGCACAATTAGAGCTCCCACACGGAAGTTGGTGGGCTTGGGAGGGGAATTGTTGGCCAAGCCCAAGGCACGTTCCATTGCGGCCTTGTGGTTTCCAGGTTCTATGGTAGTCATATCGTTTAATGTGAAGCATGTACGGATGAGGTATGACGAGATGTCTAGATGCGGGAGCTTTGCTCCATCTTGAATGGTCGGCGGTTGTAAACTCCGATCACCGAGAGCACTTTAACATCGGCCCCACACCTTTCTCGTGAGCGCGTTGCAACGCGTCTCCCATCGAGCAACGAGCTCGAGCTTAATCCAACTCAGCACTCCATTACACAATCAACCAAAATCGACGATATCAATACGATGTCAGACCACGAAGATATTCTGGAGAGCGAACCTCCCACTATTGACCCGTATGAGGTTTTGAGCCTCGAAAGGACTGCGACGAGCGATGACATCAAGAAATCTTATCGAAAGGCTGCGCTTAAGAACCACCCAGGTTTGTCGATTGGGTTACAACAGAGATGAGCACTACTGACCCTACGACTTTTCAGATAAGGTGCCACAAGATCAGAAAGATGCTGCGCACGAGAAGTTCCAAGCTATTGCGTTCGCCTACGCCATCCTTTCCGACCCCGCCCGTCGCAAACGGTATGACGAGACTGGCTCGACTTCCGAATCGATCGTAGACTCAGATGGATTCAACTGGAGCGACTACTACCGAGAGCAATATAAAGAATCTGTGTCGGGCGATGCGATCAAGAAGTTTGCGAAGAAGTACAAAGGCTCTGATGAAGAGAAGGGAGACGTGCTCGATGCGTACGAAAAGTACGAAGGCGATATGGATACGCTGTACGAGACAGTCATTCTAAGCGACATTCTGGAGGACGACGAACGTTTCCGCGAGATTATCGATACGGCTATCGAGAGTAAGAAAGTGTCCAGCTTCCCAGCCTACACAAAAGAGACGAAGAAGAAGCGAGAGGGACGCATGAAGCAGGCCCGCGCTGAAGCCACGGAGGCCGAAGACTACGCAAAGGAGCTAGGTGTGCACGACAAGCTCTTCGGCGGCGACAAGAAGGGCAAAAAGAAGAAGGGCAAGGGAAACTCAGAGGATGACCTGGCAGCACTGATCCAAAAGAGACAGCAAGATCGGTCAGAGAGTTTCTTGGATCATCTCGCTGAGAAGTATGGTGCCAAAGAGAGCAAGGGCAAGGGCAAGAAGGGCAAGAAGCGACCTGTTGAAGATGAGCCGTCAGAAGAGGCCTTTCAGGCAGCCGCTTCTCGTCTGAAGGGCTCGAAGAGGTCGAAACGGTAGGCTTTAGGTGGAATGCAATATCGGATTGCAGTAATACGGCTATTGGGTCAAAAACTTTGGTGTTTGGGCGTAGGTCAAGGCAAGGATACACTACTAGGACAAGGAAAGAATTTAGAGACTGAGAAGAATTGAATGATTCATATCAAGTTGCAGAATACTATGAGAACAGCGTGGTTTCCGATGACCTTTCTTTCATGTGTCTGTCATCAGTCAACGAATGTGGTATAAATCATAGAGGATTGCGACAAACAAAAATGAAGCAGATTTGTTCTCCTAACGAACCTCGAACCTCATATCTCCAAGGCAAGCTTCCTTGCAAGACTTCTAACCGTTAATGTATTCTATAACAATACCCAGACTTGCTGCGGCAGGCATTCCTAGCAACCTAATTCAACGACTTCACTAATGTGCAATGACTCTGTAACGTTGTCACGGGCCAGTCGATTGTCCACTAAGCTATGGTGGGGCTTCTCAAGCCACCGTGAACATTGCCAGGTCTCACTTCACTTGTTTAACCTTCTCAAACGCGTCACCACGACAAGATACGCAGGAGCGCGATTCTGTATGGCAATGCTTAATGATGGTTTAGCCTTCATCTGAAGAAGAGTGCTATCATGATGCCATGAGCGAACCCGCCAAGCCCCCAATCTATCCTCGGTATTGCTTTCATCTTGCGCCAACCGTGAACCAATGGTGCCTCTTTCGTGTAACCGATATCCATAATCTTGGTCAGTACGAAGGGTTTGAAGGCAAGTCTAATCTGTTGCATATTTCACTGTGTTTTAGACTGACAGCTTCAAGGCGAAAACTTCTACTTCTATGGGAATCTACCCATCAAATGGGTGCGTATAGTCGGATTAGTCGTCGCCATTGACGAATTCGCAAGCCGACGCGTGTATACAATAGACGACAGTAGCGGCTCATGCATCGAGTGCACCATTTCCATACCAATCTCTGGTGAAGATGATAGTCGCGCGACAACAGGAGATGCTGCTCCGAAGAAAGCGGATATTGACCCGCCTCAAAACCCAGACCCATTCCCAAATATTGATGTCGGATGCGTTGTCGACGTCAAGGGAGGCCTATCTACTTTCAGAGATGAGCGGCAACTCACCATTGAGAAGATGACCAAGGTACGAGGCACTGCGCAAGAGGTTACTCTCTGGGAAAAAAGGGTCAAATTCAAGTCCGAGGTTCTTGACAAACCATGGGTGCTACGAAGCAGTGAAATCCGAAGATGTCGAAAAGAAGCTGAACGAAGTGAAGAGGAAGTGGAGAGGAAACAAAAACGCAGCAAAGCAATGGTAGAACATCGAGCACCGAAGCAGACATCAAAGTCCGCGGGCCATGCTGAACAGCCCATCCGGCAGCAGAAGCCGCACAAAGAAATGCGGCTGGACCTTCGGCAGATTCTTGAACAAGGTGGAAGAGGCAAATACGATGCGCTAGGATTGTGAACTGAAGATGTCCTGATCGCTGGCGCACTTACTACGGCATTTTAGCGGGCGTTCATTCTTAGATCTGGACCAGAAAGAAGCAATAAAAGAGAGTTGCCAAGTAGTGGTAGGCATGGCCAAGCGCATTGTGCCGTGGTCTGGAATGCGATACGCAATCACTGTGATTGATAAAGTGAGCTAGAGGCTAGAGGCTAGAGGCCCATATGGCCTTGGGGTCTTTGAGACACGCCGGAACGATTGGTCACTGGGTCATGTCTCGGTTTCTAACCAACTCCTCCGTCCTGATGTCTGGGTAAACGTTACCCACAAGTCAAGTGTTGTCTCAACGGCCTCTAACGTAACATATGGAGTCAACTGATTGTCTCGGTTCAAAAACGAACTGCCTTTTTCATGAATGTTACATCAACGATGAAACGGTTGGAGAAGAGAGTTTGGCCACCAGACGGACGACAAATGACTTCGTATTCATCAGGCGAAGACATAGCAAGGCTGGTGATGTTTATTCTGAGAGACAATTTTCTTAACTCAAGTAATAGCATGAAGGACGGATTATATGCAAAACAATAAAAGATTTTAGCTATGAAGCCACCTAGCCGTCAACGCTCAAGGCTGAGACTTGATTCGGGAACGCAAGCCATGGAAATAAATGAAGGACACAAGTGGCGTCCACTCATAAGGTTGAAAGCTCACCCAAACCCCCGGAGCTGAACTGCGAAGCAAATTTGAACGTTTAGTTTGCAAGGTGTGGCGAGCTCAACCGAAGCCATCCCTCGAATAGTCTTCCAGGCTAACTCGTCGCGAATCGATAGTTCCTGGAACTAGGAGCACCTTGCAGCCCATGCCCAAGTGCGGCGTGCGCTAGGCAATTAACTGGCCCCTCTACTGCAGGCACACGGGGACGCCACAGATGAGCATCTAGGCGATTTCCCCTTTGAGGTGCATCACGACGCGCCATGGATCACATACCCTGTGTGTGAGAGTGAGACTGAGGACATGCGCCGCAGACACTTGATCTGGAATGCGAAAAAGGTCCCCGCCTCGACTGTTCACGATGCTCTTTCCTGGGCTTCAATGATACCCAAGAGTCAGAAAGAGCGATGGCCCGAGAGAGCACATGGCCAAGCTTCTCTGGCATTGGCTCCTCGAGGGGAGAAGATAAAGATGGAATTCCTCCAGCCATTTTCGTTCAACTTCAACCCTCAACCCCATCATCATCACAACCTCGGAATCCTATCACATTCGCATCCTACACCATCCTAGAGAATCCAATTTCTTGAATCCTATTACCCATCATTGCTTACGCCATCTTTGTTGGCATCTGCTAGGCCTCGGCCACCCGTTGTCGACCCTGGTCCGTTAGTTCAACATTTCTTTTGGTGGTCAATTCTAGGCTTGGTCTAGCTTCCAGGTAAGCCACATGCGTTTCTTCGTTTGTGCCGCCGAGACACAGTCCACTTCATTTCATTCTCCGATGTAAGTGCATGCTAGCTCTATCAGTCGTGGTGCCACTGGACTAGTGGTTTTCCGCATTCGATGGCTTCAAGGAAAGGAGCAGGCCCTGCAGCGTAGGGCGGCTATATTATATGAGCCATGGAACCCCTACCTTTCAGCTTGTTGTCCAGCTTCGTTCAGCCTCATAAGTCTTATCGAGGTTGTGAGTGATCTTCTTGATCAAGGCAGCATTACACTCCCTACTTGCCCATCATGAAGACCCGCACCATCTTGCCCGTATGGCTTCTTTGGCTAACTCAGGGACAAGTCCTAGCCCTACCCCAAGGCCAAGGCGACTCTGCTGATTCCTGGGACGACTCTAACGAGGAGTTCAAGCGAGATATCGAAACATCTGCTTTCCAGTATTTGACAACCTACGACAAGGACGACATCATTCCCGTTACCGAAAGTGTCAAAGTCAGTACCAGCAAGGTTGGAACTACTGCCACAGCTCAAGTCCTGCCAACTCTTTCAGACGTTGAGCCTCATACCGAAGGTTTCGTTGTAACGGATCTATACAATCCTCTTCTTACAGAACCTGCCGTTATCAGCACTTCGATTCCCAGCCCTACAAGTCTGCTCAAGCCAGTTACGTCTACTACAAGCAACGCTGTACCCTCAGGTCTCTCCAAAATGGCTGCCGCTCCCAATGTCTTCGCCAATCCCATCGATACGAGTGCTCCTCCTTCGATGTTCGCAAGGAAGTCTACTCACCCTGTTGCCAAAACGCCCATCATCAATCAAAACACCCCTATTGGCACAAACAAGTTTTACTCCAACTTCTACCTTGGTGATCAGAATACCCCCGTCTATACTTACCCCTACTCGCTCACATGGGCCAAGGGTGCTGGCCCGGCAGCAAGCTGGGGCATGTCTATCTCTCACATCGAGGCGTCACAACGTACATATGGCGACGTGCAATATAATGGTGCCGTCAAATATTACATCAACCCTGTTGGTATCCAGTCCATGATCATCTCGGCAAAGGAACTTGGCAAGAACACCGTCTTGACTATGGACTCTATTAGTGCTCACTATGCCAAAGCTTACCTCCGAAAGGACAGCAAGTCAGCAGCAACAATCACCTTTCCCCTTTACCAAGGTAGCGTCTTCACGACTGCGTATTTCAGCGGTGGTACACCTTGGATTCAGACTGGCGTCTACTTCAGAACTATGACACAAGTGACAAAAGATCCCAAGTCCAACGTGCGCAAGTACAACTTCGTCCTTGAAGATGGAACCACCTGGCGTCTGTATGCTTACAAGACCAAGGGTGACCCTCTTACCCTCAAGATCACCAACAATGGTCTTGCTTCCTCGACTAAGCCATTCTACGGCTTCATCCAAATTGCGAAGGATCCAAAGGTTGGCCAGTCCGAGGCGGTTCTCGACAACGGCTGCGGTATCTATGCCACTGGAATGACAGTCAGCGGCAGCGCTGTTGGCAAACAGGGCACCTACAGTTTCACATGGACCAAAACTGGCCACGCTACCGGAAAGCTTTGGATCTTTGCTCTTCCTCACCACGTCAGCTCATTCGATGCCACAACCAAGAAGGAGATGAGGACGTACTCGCTCCAGACACCTACCAAGGGTATTGCTACTGCTGTTGGAGGAACCACCTGGACGATGGTCGAATCTGCCCTGCCCGTCGACATGGGCTTTGCTCCCTGGGACCCAACGAAAGGAAGCCGTGGTCTGACTGCTAATGCGAAGAAAATCATCGCACCTATTGCCAAGTCCGAGGTCTCGCAGGACATGGACGCGCAGGCTAACACAGACTCGATGTACTATTCTGGAAAGGTAACTCCCTCGTCAAGCTTCCATGAGAAATATACTGACAGAATGTAGGCTCTGGCAAAGTTTGGTTCTATCATCTATGTCATCAACAACATGCTAGGAGATAAGGCTCTGGCACAGGCTGGCTTACTCAAACTTCAGAAGGCATTTGCCAGATTCGGTTCGAACAAGCAAAACTACCCTCTTGTCTACGAATGTAAGTCGTTTGTCAAAGCCGGGTTTTACGTTGGCTAATCAGGTGAATAGCCGTCTGGGGCGGAGTCGTTTCATCTGCATCCTATGAGACAGGCCAAGCAGGATCCGACTTTGGAAATACCTACTACAATGATCACCATTTCCATTATGGCTACCATGTCCTCACTGCCGCCTATATTGGCGCTATGGATAGCAAATGGCTTGCTGCCAACAAGGCCTACGTCAACTCTCTTGTTCGTGATTATGCGAACCCGAGCAGCAGTGACAAGTACTTCCCTGTGTGGCGAAGCTTCGATTGGTACCACGGCCACAGTTGGGCTCATGGCCTGACTGCCATGTATGATGGCAAGGACCAAGAATCAAGTTCCGAGGACATGATGTCTGTTTATGCTCTGAAGATGTGGGGTACTGTGATTAAGGACACTAACATGGTCGCGAGGTAAGTTGGGCAGCCCAGGTATATCGATCGCAGACAACTGACAATATAAAACAGAGCAAACCTCCAGCTTGCCGTCATGTCACGAGCTATGCAAGACTATTACTACTACACCACCTCGAACACCGTACAGCCTAAGAACTTTATCGGAAACAAGGTGGCGGGTATTCTGTTCGAGAACAAGGTGCACCACACAACATGGTTCAGCGCAGCCATTGAGGCAATCCAGGGCATTCACATGATTCCTATCCTCCCCGTGTCCAACTTGGCCCGAACTGGCACATTCGTGCAGCAGGAATGGGACACTTACTTTAGCAAGGGCCGTGTCGACAAGTTTAACAACCTGTGGAAGGGTATTATCTATGGCAACTATGCAACAGTTCAGCCTAAGACTGCCTGGACTTTCTTCACGCAGTCCAAGTTTGATGCCAACTGGATCGATGGCGGAGCATCAAGGACATGGTATATGGCGTATGCTGCGGGTAAGTCTACAACAGTGAAACGCAAGAGTACATCGGCTGACATTCATGATATAGCTCTGGGCCAGATTTGATGAGAAACAGATCGTGAGATGGCTCCGTTGCTACCAAAACGTGGGCATCGGTGCTGAAATCAGCACCTTGTACAAATATTGAACATAACTTGCATAGAATGGCGATACCTCGACGGGAACATTTGTTTTGTATAATTGGAATGGGTAGAAAGAACAGCCTTTGGATGTGTTAGAAATGAAGGAGGAAAGCAAGAAAGACAGTTAGATATTCTCTGACCTCACCCAGATTAGACAGACGGGAGGCAGATGTTAGACCCTTGACAGGGCGCGTTAGAATTTCATTGGTTACCTTTAAGCCGTGTCGAATACCGGAAGACGAAGCTCGAAAGACGCTTGAAGAGCTCCGAACTCCGACAGAGTCTGAATAAGTTATCTTGTGACCTGTGTTGATGATACCGGAACTCGGATGTATGGGATCGATCAATTAAACCCACGTGCTGGTATTGAGGAGGTGACTATCTGGCCCGGCTTGATTGGGGCGCAGCCATGACGACCCTTGATGAAGATTTGCGCCAAGGGGAAGTGAGTGAGATGTGGGTGATCGCCAAGAAACAGATTGTTAACACTGCCTCGAATTTGACCAAGAAGAGGAAGAGAGTGACAGGTTGGGAGGCGAACAAAGTTAGAGAGTACCAAGTGGGAAATGATTATGGGGCAGGCAGTTTGGAGTCTGCATATGCCTGAAACATTGAGTGCGACAGACGTTTCTTTTTAATGTGTTTGAGAGGATAATAAACTGGGCACTGTCATCTGGCTATGGGTGGTCTGCACACCAAAGAGAGAATACTACATGAGACAAGACACAAGTTAAGAATCAGTGTGACCCTTTTTCTTGCTTATTAACATCAATTAGAGTTACACATGACGAGTTGTCCATTGGCGTACTGGTAAATCCCAGCGACACGGCAACGTCGGACAAGAGTGGCCAGGACCAAGCGGGTTGCGCAAGGCGAAACAAAAAAGCATGGAATTAGGGCGGAGTCTATCATGTCGTAAGCCGATGGACTCCGGCGCAAGTTACATGACGTTTGATATGAAAAGCCACTCATAATGATGTATCTTGCATATCCGAAGTTATACGATGTCTATAATCTGTCCGCCAAAAAACAGGGGTCGCCAAGATGCCAAGAAGAAGGAGAATTGCGAGGCGTACAGCTATTGACATTATCATATTAATTCAGAAGGTGCGTTAATTTCGACAATTCCCTTTTTTGACGAGATTCACAATGGCAGAGAGACAAAAAGTGCTTGCAGATTCAAAGTTTTAAGCTTTTTTTGCTCAGCCACCAGCTAATCTAATTTGTTTCTTGGGCCGCTGCGTCGATAGCTGGGAATCGGCGGTTTCTCAATGGAGCTTAGAGCGTCGCGCCGAATAATTGAGCATCAGTGACAGGACAACCTGGAGCTCTCCCTGGAAAGTGGGGAGCTTGGCAGCTCAGTCAGTGGATAGCTCAGCGGTTGATGGCCAGCTTCTTTTGTCAGTGGCCGGATGGGATTGGCTGATGTAACCCTGCCGATCCGCTTGGGAAACCCATGTCCTACGTCAACTTGCTCGGTTGCTGCTTCCAGGGCCAAGCTAAGCTTTTTTCCCTTGACCAAGGAAGGAGGCCTCCTGGGGCAACACGGGTTGTTTCTCTTCGTTCCTGCAACACAACCACCACCTCCAACAAGACCATCACCATCAACAGCATCATCACCCGTCGTCTAACTAATTGTTGGAGATTCCCAGGGCTGTGCAGCTTAAGTACGCCCGCTTCTCTTTACCCACCGACGCTATTCTTCCCTTGGACTGTCTAACGTACATACACACTCCGTTGAGCGGGGGTGGAAAGAAAGCACAATTGAAGAGAGACAGACAGACAACACACTCACTGCCTTCAAACGTACGTTGTCGTTGGATTGGATCGTCATACGCTTCGTTACTCGTTTCGTTTCGTTCTGTTTCGCTCATTCCAGACCGACTCAATCAATCCCGTGGTCGTTCAACCTTTAAACTGCATACACACGCATCAATCAATCAATTAATCAATTGGCTGTGAGAAAGCTCGACACAATCATGGTTTGTAAGTAAAATATCTATCTGCATCTGCGTCTGCATTTAGCCTTTCCTTTTTTGCTCTCTCTCCTCGATCATAAAGCATCACTTGGACAACCACGGTTCCTCAAAGTCTATCCATCTATTCCTCTGCCACGCACAAAGTAAACCATACATCCAATACCCTGGTATCAGAACCATACATATCCTCATCTACACATCTTTCCTAAACCTGCTCCATCTCCATATCCCATCCACATCTCCATCTCATCACCGTCACCATCCCTGCATCTGAGCACAGAGTGCCACACACCAGCCAGAACGAGACAAAGTGCAAGATTAGCTTCTTTCACACGGGGGTCTCAAAGACGGCGCCGCCACTCACGATATTATATCCCTATCCCTATGGTTATTGCCCTTTACTACTCGGTGCCCACATCGTTTTATCCTTCTTTCAACCTCACCTCTACGTCAACTCCATTTATCTCGGTTCCTGCTCCTTTGGACACGGAAACGGATACAGGCCTTGCCACCTGGTACAAGATATCGAGTGAAAGAGTGAGTCTATTCGCGACGCGATAATGCCTAATACGGACTTTACTCCCGTCAGCTCGAGTCCACCCGTTCCTGTGTCTTCCCTCCATCTCCAAGTCTGTCATTATTGTCCTCCCCCTCTTGGCAAGCGCCGTCAGTTGGACCTAAATGCACTGCCGTGATCGCCATTCTATCTAGGCGCCAGCTTCAGACATGATCTTCACTTTGCATCTCTACCTCTTTGCATGCGCATCAAGGATGGCGCAGCAGGGTCCGCTCCTTTCCATGCCCAGCACAAACAAGCTCAAAGCATCCGGCCCATGGAGACAAGGCCAAGCGATCTAGGCTCTACAGGCCCAGGTCCCATTGTCAGCCTACCATGCAGCCTACCCCAAACTTTTGAGACTTGCCCTTTTGAGGACTTCTTTGTATTCCATCGCTTATTGCTTAACAACCATCTACTCCGCCTTTTCATGCTTCCTCACTGCTCGTTACTTATATCGAAGACTCATCCGCTGACCATGTCGGTGCCTTGACCACCACCAACAGCTCTTCCATCTTTCAACCTCCAGATCAGACGATCAATGTCTGCTAAACCTCGCAACCATACAGCCGACGAGAATAGCCCGCTCCTCAATGGCGGTGCCTCGTCGGCTCTCAATGACACCCTCGGTCATCGCAATGGCAACGGCCATATCAGTCTCAGCCGGGACTCGAGCACAATGACGTTCCTCTTCGACTCGAAGCATACACCCGGTATCGATAACAGCAACATTGCCGTAAGGAGTCTGGCTTACTCCTGGCACATCGCCAAGGTCACCCTCCTCAGCAGTATGTTTGCGCTTCTCGCTGTATAGTCGCATACACAACTAATTCTGTTTCTTAGATTATGTTAACTTTCTCCTGGTTATGGTTCCTCTCGGTATTGTCGCGGGTAAGATGGGCTGGGGCTCCACTGCCGTCTTCACCATCAACTTCTTTGCTATTATCCCGCTCGCTGCTGTTCTGTCTTTTGCGACAGAAGAGTTCTCGATGAAGCTTGGCGAGACTCTTGGTGGACTCCTGAATGCTACCTTTGGAAATGCCGTGGAACTTATTGTATGATGCCCCAAGTTTAACTTCATGTTCACGACTAATCGGACTTTCAGGTCAGCATTGTTGCTCTCCAGCGAAACGAAATTGAGCTCGTCCAGGCCTCTATGCTTGGTAGCATTCTTTCTAACCTTCTTCTGGTCATGGGAATGTGCTTCTTGTTCGGTGGTATCATTCATCGCGGCGAGTCGGGCAATGGCAGAGAGCAGTCCTTCTCTTCAGCCACTGCGCAGACAACTTGCTCCCTCATGACACTGGCTTCGGCCTCGCTTGTCCTTCCCGCTGCTGTATGTCAAATTGAACCATTCTCAAAAACTCGACTAACTTTCATAGCTCTACGCAGTTCTTGACCAGAATGGTTCCAAGGAGAAGGCCCAGAGCATCCTCACACTCTCTCGCGGCACCGCCATCATTCTTCTCCTCCTATACGTCTTATATCTCGTCTTCCAGCTCCGAACACACAGCAACCTTTTCGACGCCGAGAACCAGAACGAGGACGGTGAGGAGGCTGAGCCAGAGGAGCCTACTATTGGACCTATTGCCGCTATTGCCGTTCTCTGTGTTACCACCGTCCTCGTCACTGTCTGCGCCGATTACCTCGTTGACAGCATTGATGATCTTGTTAAGACTTCCGGAATCAGCCGAGGATTCATTGGTCTGATTTTGATTCCTATTGTTGGCAATGCTGCTGAGCACGTCACTGCTGTTGTCGTCGCCCTCCGTGATAAGATGGATCTCGCCATGGGTGTTGCGGTTGGTTCTTCCATCCAGATTGCTCTCCTGGTCACGCCCTTCCTAGTCATTGTTGGCTGGATCATTGGTGCCCCCATGACTCTTCACTTCGAGACCTGTGAGTTTCATTCCTTTTCCTGTGTAATATTTACTGACACGACTTTTCAGTCCAAACTGTTGCCTTTGGAGTTTCTGTCCTCGTTGTTACGTATATCGTCCAGGATGGCAAATCCAACTACCTGGAGGGTGCTATGCTTATGGGTCTCTATATTATCATCGCCTTGGCGTTTTACGCCACTCCATCAGATGTCTTGGACCCTGGCAACTAAATGCTAGAGTTCCCCTGATGTCTTAATCATTCTCAATCAACTAATGTTTTTAAACATATTTTGACTACCAACGAGTAACTTGTCGTCTCATCAAGAAGCTTGTTATGGATAGTCAGGAATGCCACCGAAAACTGTGGCTTCAACGATCTGCCGAAAGACAGTCGGATAATCGAGTCAAATTTCGTATTTTGTATTATTAAGCCGATGCAGTCCGCTGGACAGGATTGCTTCATAGGAGTCCCAGACACTCCATCAAACTCTGGAATGGAACAGGGAGGGAATAGGGAGGTTCAGTCGCATTCGCGAAATTTCATTGTGTCAAAAGAAACGAGGGATAGGAAATGGCTTTGGCGGTCTCTGTGCTTATTGGATTTTTCTTGCTTATATCATATCATTGGACTGCGAGGTCAGAGATGGAATTCAGGCGCGCAAAGATTAGTCGGATAGTTAATCAATATTTTCGCAGATTGATCTCGTTTTTGTCACTGTTGCAGTAGTCGTAACAATTTCGCACTCTTTAAAACACTAGGAGTCAAGTGATATCTTTGGGGGTTACCTGCCAGCAGGACAACACCAGATGGACGTCAGACCTGAGCAGTGAGCTGGATATTGATCCACGAATGCCGAGTAACAAGATGAACATGAAATTGACTGATTGGTGAGATAAGTCGGGACGAGACGTTTTTACTCATTAAATAAATTGGCGCAATCAACACTCATCACATATCTGTACAAGATGGCAGGAATGTTGCCATATACCTCAAAAGCTTGACCTCAAGCCATCCGATATTTATTCTAAAACCAGGATACAAGACATCACACAGCACACAGCTTCGGAGGCAGAGCAGATAGAAGAAAGATGCTTTTGATTATCAAAACGCCAATGTGTGTATGTCAGAATATATATCGGAGATTCTAAATAGTAGGTTTGGACATGGGCGCAATAATGCCCTGTTTCATAAGCACACGAGGCTTGGTGCTGTCCTGGAAGGTCTCCTTCGTCTGCCACTCCGGTCCAACAGGTAGACGCAGCGAGCGCTCATACTGTTGGCGGGACTCGAAGGGGTGAGGGAGCTGAGATGCGAGATAACGGTCATTCTGGAAGTTGTTAGCATGCTATATAGACGGGGAATGCAAGTGAGCTCATTTACCTTCTTGATGCGCTTCTCGTTGATAATGACCTTGTCCAGCTTGGCATCCTTGCGATCCTTCTTCTTGATACCATCAACCTTTGTTAGGAAACGGCCCTGGTGACGCTTCTTCTCCTTGGCGCTCACGCCATCACCAACCCATGATCCCCAACCAGGCAGTGTGTTATCAACGACCTTGTCGTCCTCTTCCTCAGCGATAGCTGTCTTTTCATCTTCAAAGGCACCGACCACGTCCTCACCGGCAAAGGCACGAGCAACCATTTCTTGATCGCGAATCGCCATAGGCAGATGCAGGTCTGTCTCGGATTCGACGTCTGAAGCATCCTCTGTAGTCTGTGTTTTTGACTTGGATTTTGACTTGCTGGGCTTGGAGGCTACAAGGACGTTGGATGTGAGGTCGAGATCACCAATGTTTGCGCTAGACTGGCCCTTCTTCTTGCGGCGTGTCTCGCCGCGGGACCATGCGCCCGTGGTTCCTGAAGAAGCGGGTTCAGATAGGGATGTAATGTTGGGAATAGCAGGGTTGATGCCAGCACCGTTGGTGGTTATTATGACATCGTCGTCGTCATCATCATCAGCATCCTCAGACTTGCGCTTCTTAGACACCTTGGATGACTTCTCGAGAGCGGGTTTGAACGGCTGGCCATCTGCAGCACCATACTGGCGTCGGCCCACTTCTTCCAGCTCATCAGCGGAACCATCAAACTCCTCGCCATCAAGCTCTCGTCGGATCTGCTTGATAAGAGCATCGTTCGCCTCCTTCTTAGCGGCCTCAGCCTTTTGCATGAATTTCATGCCCATTAGACCCTTCTGGGGCTCATCCTCTTCCTCCTCAAGAGCCGCCAGCTGTCGACGTAGAGAAGCATCCCCTCCGTCAGAGTCACTGTCTGATTCAGACGAATCGTCAGAGCCACCAGCACGACCCTCCTTTCTCCTTCGAAGCTCCTCATCCTTACGCGCCATCTCCGTCAGGCCAGCGCGGAAATCATCGTCCCACACGGCTCGCTTTGTCTTGGAGCCAATCTTGGCCCACTTGCTCTCCTTGTGTCGCTGGCCAACACGCTCAAGCGCTCGTCGACGATCTTGCGCTTCACGCTCTTCCTCAGAGTCAATCTCACCAGCCTCTTCCATAGCCTCCTTTGTAGCCATTTCATCGCGTTCACGCTGCTTTCTGTGCACACGGTGGTATGCCTTGCTCTTGATCTTCTTAATGCGCTTGGCTCGCTTAGCCTCTCGAGAGTTGAGTTCACGCTCCATGCGCTTGCGTGCAAGAGCTTCCTTGCGGGTGAGCTCATTGCCCTCTTCATCATAATCCTTCTCCTTTGGCTTTTGTGGCTTTTCCATTTTAAGACCGCTCTGCTCCATGATAGACATAATGGCAGACTCGAGCTCGTTGCTGGGCTTTGACACATTCAAAGGCTGGATCTCGGTAGTATCGAGACCAGCAGTCGCTGAATTCTGAGGCAGAGGAAACATGAGATGCTCAGCTCTTCGGTTTTGCTTAACGGTGTCGTTCCATCGATCCAGGGTTTCATTTGTCTTTTCATAGGCTGCACTTCGATCAAGTTGGTCCTGTTGTCTCCTTGCCAGAGGCACAGCCAGCTTCTTGGAAGCACCAGGACGCTTCTCCTTCTCCTCTTTGCTCATCAGCTTCATAGATTTCTTCACGTTGACGTCGTTGATACCCGTCATTCCTAAATCAGCAAGACTGATCTTGGCTTTTGACTTGGGTTTGTCGTCTTCGTTGCCATTTTGACCTCCATATCCCTTGATCATGCCTTGAAGGGCTTCGAGCTTCTCGGGGCTTGCCTCCTCGTCGTCACTATCGTCATCGTCACTGTCGTCGTCTTCTTCCGATTCATCGGATGCATCATCGTCAGACTCTGAGGATCCGGAGTGATCTTTCTGCACGGGTTCATCGTCTGACTCCTCGAATTGGTCCAGGGCTGTTGCTAAATCGATGGCATCTTCGCCCAGTGTTTCACCCTCGTCGTCTTGAGAATCGTCCTCTGAGTCATCATCCTTTTGGGTGTTAGACTAGGATCAGCTGTTCGAGAACAGAACACACTTACCTCACGCTGTGTTGTTTTGCTGCCACGGAACGTGTAACCCTCGAACTTATCTCCATCGCTATCGCCAAATGCATCGTCACTCTCAATCTCCGAATCCTCGTCATCATCTCTTAGACCTCCCAGTCGCCATTCGTTGCCTTCACTATCACTTCCATCATCGGCATCGTCGTTTGTTGGCCGACTCGGCCTCTTGACCTTCTTTCTCTGTGGCTCTTCCTCTTCCTCGTCCTCCTCGTCCTCCTCTTCGTCGCGACCATGCTTTCGCTCGATTTCAGCGTCTAATTCTCGTGCTCGAGGCGTTCGCTTCTGTTTCGGCGCAAAGTTCTCCTGTGCGATACCGAATGCATCAAGCGCATTCTTCTGTGATCTCGCCTTGGACTTTTTGTTGCCGGTCTTGGCTTTCGGGGCTGCGATAAGGGGTCGCCCGTGAGCCTGTCTTCCGCCCATTGTTCTCGCCAAGTGCTGGTATCCAATTTATCGAGTTATGGGCGTTGCGCGGACCGGCGTGAAATGATTGAATGGCGTCGACACAGCTTCCACAGAGCAACACTTTTTTCCAACTTTTCTGCCGTGTAAAAAAGTTTGGCGGTGAGATGACCCTTGGCGGGGCACTATACGTACCCATGCGGGTAATGGATTGTAAATGGCTTGTGAGATGAGCCTATCATGTACGTTGTAAATTGCTGATTCTAGTGGGGTCGATCCCACTGAAGACCACAGGAGCCTTTCCACTACGGACCACGTCTAGCACCGAATACCGAGCCACATCGGATGTCGAATTTATGGCCAAGATCTCGTATGATCTATAAGTGAGCCACTTCTTCTTCGTCTTTGTCGTGCAATTCGATTTCTCTCAATCTTGTTCGTTCAACCTCTGAACATTGGCTTCGATCATGGCGTCTTCCTTCGCCCCCGGGCTCCGGAGGTTACTATTCCAGGCCACGGCCGCAGCGTCTGGACCTTCAAAGTTCTTTGTCTGCAACCAATGCCTTCGAAGTGCGCCCCGGAGCATGCACTCGCGCGTTCTCAACGCTGTCCGATCACGATCCTATGCCGATTCCGCAATCAACAAGCCAATTGGAACTATCGCCGAGCAGGTCTCTGCCCGCGCATCTCCCTCTGTCTCTCAAGCTACCAAGAAAGCATGGCCTGAGTCCAACCCCAAGGGTGTGGGCTACTGGCTCCTCGGCAGCGCTGTTAGTGTTTTTGGTATTGTCGTCTTTGGTGGTCTAACACGTTTGACCGAGTCTGGGTATGCTTTTCTATGCCTTCTGCAGACAATTGGATAGCCAGCTAACGTCAAGACAGCCTGAGTATCACTGAATGGAGACCTGTCACCGGTTCGCTTCCTCCCATGTCCAATGAAGATTGGGAGTCCGAGTTCGAAAAGTACCGTGCGTCGCCCGAGTTCAAGCTTCTCAACCCTCATATGGACCTCGGAGAATTCAAGAAAATCTACTTTATGGAATGGTTTCACCGTGTCTGGGGTCGATTTATTGGCCTGACCTTTGTCATTCCTACCGCCTACCTCGTCGCCCGCCGCAAAGTTACGCCTAAAATGGCATTGAATCTTGCTGGAATATCTGCATTGATTGGTTTCCAGGGTATCATTGGCTGGTGGATGGTCAAGTCTGGTCTCAAGGACGACCTGTTTGCTCCTGGTTCTCACCCCCGAGTCTCTCAGTACCGCCTCACCACTCACCTTGGCACCGCCTTTATCTGCTACTCCTGGATGCTTCTCTCTGCTTTGACTGTTCTCCGAACTCGTCGCTGGCTC